GTGAGTGAGCGAGTGAGTGAGTGAGTGAGAGAGAGAGAGAGCGTGCGTGCGTGCGTGCGTGCGTGCGTGCGTGCGTGCGTGCGTGCGTGCGTGCGTGCGTGCGTGCGTGCGTGCGTGAGTGAGTGAGTGCGTGCGTGCGTGCGTGCGAGCGAGCGAGCGAGCGTGCGTGCGTGCGTGCGTGAATGAGGGGGGGGGTGGTACCGTTACGCGGCTCACGCGCTCTGCGTGCGTGCTCACGTTCGCACACGTCACGCGTGACGAAAGAGTAGCAGACGACGTCCTGGCTGCTCCCGCTGTGCGCGGCGGTATACCGCCTATACCGTCTCTATACAGTCTACCCACTCTATACCGTCTACCCACTCTATAACGCACTATCCTCTATAAGCACTATTCTTGTATAACACACTATCCTAGATAAATCTGGATTTCCTTCTGTCTCTTCAACGTGATATTCCATCTCCGCTGCAGTTTTATTTTCTACTATATCTGTGTAGCGTAATATTCTTCCTGCTCTATAGCTGAGTTTTCCTTCTGTATATTCCTGTCTGTATTGCGTGATATTCCATCTCCGCTGCAGTTTTATTTTCTACTATATCTGTGTAACGTAATATTCTTCCTACTCTATAGCTGAGTTTTCCTTCTTTATATTCCTGTCTGTATTGCGTGATATTCTATCTCCGCTGCAGTTTTATTTTCTACTATATCTGTGCAACGTATTATTCCTTCTCTTCTATATAGCTGAGTTTTCTACAGTCTGTACAAATTAATGTGTTACCTTCGGTACAGTTTTGTAGTATGTGTTTTGTAGCATCACAGTTTTCTGCTGTCTCTACAACGTATTATGCTACATTCTGTGTATAGCTTTATTTTCTCCTGTCTCTGTACATAATATATTCTACCTTCTGTAAAGTTTTATTTTCTGCTATCTGTATATCGTAATATTCATATTCAGTACAGCATTATTTTCTGCTATCTGTATATCATAATATTAACATTCAGTACAGCATTATTTTCTGCTATCTGTATATCATAATATTCACATTCAGTACAGTATTATTTTCTGCTATCTGTATATCATAATATTCACATTCAGTACAGTATTATTTTCTGCTATCTGTATATCATAATATTCACATTCAGTACAGCATTATTATTTTCTGCCATCTATATAACGTAATATTCACCTTCAGTACAGCATTATATTCTGCCATCTATATAACGTAATATTCACATGCACTCGATACAGTTTTATTTTTAACTATCTATATAACGTAATATTTACATTCTGTGAAGTTTTATTTTCTACAGTCGGTAGGCCTACAACGTAATATTTTACCTTATGTAGGCCTATACAGCTTTATTTTCTACTGTATATGTACGTATTATTTTACCTTCTGTACCTTCTGTTTGTCTATCTGTATAATGTAATATTTTTCGTTCTGCATATAGCTTTATTTTCTACTATTTGTATAACGTAATATTTTAACTTCCTGTGTACAGATTAATTTTCTACCATCCGTACAGCGTAATATTTAACCTTCTGTACAGATTAATTTTCTACTTTCTGTATATACAGTATGTTTTTTATCGCCCGCGCATCGTAATATTTTACGTCCTGTACAGCATGGTTTTCTACTATCCGTATATAATAAATTTTCCATCTCCTGTGCGTAAAATATAACGCAATGTTATATGAGTAGAACTGAATACTCTTTCTCGCCATGCAAGAGCTGAATTTTCTGCCTCCTGTACAACGTAATTTTCTTTCGCCTCTATACCGCAATATTCTATAAATACAACGTAGTATTCTGTGTGTATAACGTAGTATTCTGTGTGTATAACGTAATATTCTATGAGTGAAACGTAATATTCTGTGTGTACGCACGTAATATTCTATGAGTAAAACGTAATATTCTGTGTGTACGCACATAAAATTCTATGAATACATTGTAATATTCTATGAGTACAACCTAATATATTCTATGTGTACAACAAAATATTCTAAGTGTACAACGAAATATTCTGTGTGTACAACGTAATATTCTATGAATTTAATGTAATATTCTATAAGTACAAGGAAATATTCTCTGTGTACAACGTAATATTCTATGAATACAGCGTAATATTCTATGAATACAACGTAATATTTTACTTCATCTATCACTCAATTTACTACCTAATCTGCAGCATAATTTTCTACTCGCTGCGTATCGAAATTTTACGCTCTTTGTACATCGTATTGTTTTCTCTTCTGTACAGCGTAATATTCTAACTCACGTGCAACATAATATTCTAACTGTTTTGCGCGGAAATCTCTCTCTCTCTCTCTCTGTCTCTCTCTCTCTCTCACACCACACCGCACACACAGCACACGCACACACACACACACACGCACGCGACGGTTCACCGGCAGCACGCACGCACACAGGCCACACACACCGACGAGGACACACACGCGACAGTCAGTGCCACAGGCACACACCACGCACACACACACACACACACACACCACACAGCACACACACAGCTCACACACACATGCGTCGACACACACGGCGGCTGGGCTGTAACCACACACACACACACCGCACATCACACACACACACACACAGGTCAGGCCGACAACCACACACCAGCATACCCTACCGAGCACACATCAGGAGCGCACCACGTCGGCACAATCACATGAGCTACAACATCCTTTAATTTTCTGCATTCCGTACAACGAAATTCTCTGTTCTCCTTTATAACATGATTTTTGATAACTCGTTCGTAGAGAGCAACGGCGGTAATAATTCTCATGTACAAGCGATTTTCTGCTACTCTCCCGAGTGGAGACCGCACATTCTCAATACTTTCACCATTTCGGCATTTTCTTCATTTATCTCGACGTGAGTAAAGATCGTGGTGGCGCCGACGAGGACGATGACGATGTTGACGGGCCGCGCACGCTCCTACCGGACGTACATGGCGCGGCCCGTATACGTAATACTAGATATCGTATCGCGAGTAGCAATCAGTTTAGTTAAATCAGGAGAATGTGAGATAAGCGTGGAAGTGCTTATTGAGGCCGGCTTGAATATGCGGGCGCAATCCGCGACGGCGGAACGCGACAGACGGACGGCGACGGCGATACCGCGTGACGACCGACGGGACGACGACGGACGACGTGACGACGAGCCGCCGACGGCGGCGACGACGACGAGCGACGACGCGGCACGACGATCGATAGATAATTTGTTGGTTGATCGAGCCAGCTCTAACTCTGGCATGTGTTTAGTCGCGAGGTGCAATTGAATGTCGGAGGAGAACTCGGTTTTGTGTGGCTCCGGGCGCGTTGCGCGGGAG